AAGAATCTGCCTGCAATGCAGGAGACCCCAGTTTGATCCCTGCATTGGTAAGACCCCCTGGAGAAGGACATGGCAACAACCCACTCCAGTACTCTTGCCTGTAGAATTCCCATGGACAGAGGAGCCTGGCGGGCTACAGTCCATGGGGTCGCAAAGAGTCACACACAGCACAGCACTCACCATTACCGAATCTCAGAAACATCCCTCCAGGCACAAAAGTCTGCACAAAAGTCTACACAAAGTCTGCACAAAGAAGTCAGGCACAAAAGACTACATCCCGAGTGACTCCATTTACATAAAATCCTAGAAAAGGCAAAACCATGTGGAAGGAAAACAGACTGCCAGGTTATCAGAGGTGACAGAAGACTGAGTGCAAAGCTGTGGCACAATCAACTTACGAGCGTGATGGAAATGTTCTGTACCTTACCTAGGGTGGTAACATAGATGTATTCATTTGTCAGGCTCACTGAACTTCACACTTAAAACTGAGGACTTCTACTGTATGCAAATTATATCTTAATATGGCTGATTGTAAACAAAATCACTGGTCTCTGAAAGGCAAGGTAATATAGTGGTTAAGAACTTGAGTTTTGAGCCAAAACGTCTGGATATAAACATTGATACTACCCTTATTAACTATATGAATTGAGACAAGTTATATAACCTCTCTGACCTTCACTTTCTCATCTACAAAATGGGAACTAGGGACTTCTTGGTGGTACAGTGGGTAAGAATCCGCCTGCCAATGCAGGAGACGTGGGTTCCGTTTCTGGTCTGAAGATTCTACATGCAGTGAAGAAACTAAAACCCATGCACTACAACTACTGAAGCCTGTGCACCAAGAGCCTATGCTCTAAAACAAGCGAACTGCAATTAATTTTTTTCATTGGGAATTATCTGCATCAAATAGTTGTTGTAAAGATTAAGTCATGTCAAACCCTTAGAACAGTGCCTGGCAAATAATAATAGTTTATATTGGAACACATATTATTATTATGTGGGCTTCCCTGATAGCTCAGTTGGTAAAGAATCCACCTGCAATGCAGGAGACCCCAGTTTGATTCCTGGGTCAGGAAGTTCCCTTGGAGAAGGGATAGGCTACCCACTCCAGTATTCTTGGGCTTCCTTTCCCTGGTAAAGAATTCGCCTGCAATCTGGGAGTTGGAAAGATCCCCTAGAGAAGGAAACAGCTACCCACCCCAGTATTCTGGCCTGGAGAATTCCATGGACTGTATAGTCCATGGGGTCGCAAAGAGGGGGACACGGCTGAGCGACTTTCACATTATTATTATGTATACCGAACCAACTGTTAGTACTTTTTAGTGAACTTGGCATTTATGAACTTTGAGTTTCAAGCATCTACAAGAGCCTCCAACACAGTTATCTGTAATTTTCACGAAACCCACTTTGCTTCATTATCTCTGAGCCCAAAACCCATCCTTAAACTAAACTGAGGTCTCATACTCAGTAAAACATGGGCAACAGGTCTCATCTTTAGAGCTAAATATGACTAATAGGTAGTGGCTGCCTAGACTGCTATGTTGAGGACTGTGAGACAACATCTGAATTTCAAAAGAGTACTTAACATCTGCCATGACACTAAGAGAAGCAGTGATGCCAGGATGTGATGTTATAATTATGTGATTAAAAGTTTTTCTTCACATAAATCGTGAGCTCCTTCAGGACAGTCTGTTATTAACAGATTGACACAAGAGGCTGTCTGTCATTTACTAAACGGTCAACGGACTTCACATAGATTCTACCTACATTTGATCGGGCAGAGTAAATTTTCCCATAAGGGCTTACTATAGACTTAAAAATACTTATTCCTGCTACAACTTAAGAGAACATCTGGGACTTAAAGAGGTAGAAAAGGTCATTTCGGGGAGCTGGAAAGGCTAACACTGAGACAGTCATAATGTGACAGTGTAAAAGAAAGATATTGTCTTCCAAACACAGGACAGACTCATACTTTAACAGACTATGTAAGACAATTTTGAAAAGTAAGGCAACAAAGACTTCCTTTGAATATCAGAGACTTATCCAACTTCAAGCTATATATACCACTCTACTGTACTACAGACTCTTCATCTATAAAAGTCAGAATTTACAACTTGATGGTACTTTCAACCCTTTGAAAGAAATACTAGAGTCAAAACTACAAATCCCTAAAATGTCCATCAATTCTACAATAAGATACAAACTTACTTTCAAATATAAGTAAGGAGAGACCAACACGAGATACTGACAATTCAGCATCTGACTTTAAATCAACTGTTCTCAAACAGGGTGAAAGAACAAGTCATTATCACCAAGAGAGCTTTTGCAAACTACACAGCCCACTCCAGCCTCCAATTCTGCTAAGTCCTCTTAGGATGTGGGCAGACAGGCAAGGGGAGGGAGTAACAATAAAAACTTGTGTCTACTGGACTTCCCTGGCAGTCCAGTGGTTAAGACTCTGAGCTTCCACTGCAGAGGCCTCAGACTGGATTCCTGGTCAGAGAAATTCTGCATGCCACAGGGTGTGGTCAAAAAAAAAGTTATCTCCTGTGATTGTGAAACAGCTGTTTTCCTCCAATCCACCACATTTAAAAACCATGAGGCTAAATGTATATATTTGATCTTATAGATCTGAAATTTTTAAATTCCATAAAAGAAAGCACTAAACTGAGAATCGGGAGATGTGAGTTGTAATTCTGTTCCTAAACAGTCCAATCTGAAACAAAGTTACTTAACTTCTCTGTACCTCTATGAGAATAAAATTATATTAGTATTACATTAAATTGGAAGTTTTATACAACTTAACAGAGTTGCTCTAGGATAAAATGAAACATGAAGCATAAACATCTTTAAAATGTGAATGAGGAATTATTATCATTTTTCAAACTTAAGCCTCATTAAGATGTAAAAGCTTAGAATAATTTGGACTGGTTCACAGTTTAACCTTGCAGCAGACAAGACCAACCACCCAGGGCCAATTAGAAATGAAAAGGATTCCTTGGGCTTTGCCTAGTCCTTTATCTTCCTACCCTAAACACTTGGCCAAATCAAATCTAGCTTGAGAATCAGGAAAACTGATTCCCATTAAGGAATTCTTCTGAAACGTCAACCTCACCAGCAAGAGACCAAGGACTATGACATTATTCAGAATTTTTAACTAAAGACTCTCACTGGACACTTCCACTTAGAATATAAACGAAAACAAACAAGCAAAAAAATCTAAGCAACGTGGTTAAGATTCAGAGACTGGATTTAATTTTTTTTTTTAAGTCAGGTGACAGACTAACAAAAATTGTAATAATTTTACCCCCAAAAAATAAAAATTAGTGCCAGTGGCTTATATTCCCCTATCCCTCTCCAATTTTCTATAAAATGACTTACAGTAAGTATAATAAGTAATAAGCAAGTATAGTAAGTACATACGGTGCCTGGCAGACAGTGAGTGTCAAATAAATATCTGTTGGATGAATGATTAATTCCCTTCTTTCATCCTGTACCTTAGTGCACCTACTTGGATGCTAGCACATTTGTTTCCTTTAATCTACTTATAAGTGAAATGGAAATGGTGGCTAAAAAGACAAATTCTAAAAATCCTCACTTTGTTTCATTAGTTTCTACTTTTATCACATGGCATTCTCTACCAGGTACAAACACAAACACTTAGACCTAACATAAGCTGCTTAAGTTATTTATAAAAAAAAAAATTACAATTCTAGTCCAGCTTCAGTGAAAAATGAATCAATTCTCAATCCAGAATAATTTATGACAAAAGCAAAAATATAAAGCCATTTTCACTGCAAGAACTAGAAACTGTAAGTCGAATCAGTAACTCTTATACTCCCAACTTCTAGCCCTACTGTATTTAATGACAACTTACCATCTACAACCCTGAAGTGACTCTCCCCTCTAGTGATAGTGCAAGCCAATTTCCCGTATCACTAATACACTAAGTCTATCAACAATTTCCTCCAGAACAAAAGCACAAGATTTTACCAGTTCTCACTCAGCTAACAGCAATTCCTTTCTCCTAATCTTACCATTTGAATTGGACAAAACCCAGTGAAAATTGAAAACACTCTCAAGCAAGACAATCAACTCCATCCTTCCCTTAATATAAATAAGCCCCCATGCCAAATGTCATAACTGAGTACTACTGTATACTATCCACGATGACAACACGTCTAATTCCAAGTGTTTCTCAAATCAGAAGTTCTAAAAAACTCTGAGGCGTTAACACAAGTGCCAAGTGCAGTGCAATTGTGTCTGACCCACGGATGGTATTTAAAAATGTGCGCCCCCCCCCCCCCGCAGCTTTCAAGATATTCAACTGAGAGGTGCAATGTTTTGTGAACAGACTTTCTTGACTACAGGAGCCTCACGAGCAGATTTAAATGACCTAGCCTATGAAACAGGAGGCAATATTTACACGTACACACAACGGATATTTACATCAGCACACACACGACGGATATTTACAGCAAATACCACCTCCCTTAAAATAGCCATACCCGTGTTAGAGTACCATCTACCACACTTTCAATAAACAAACTGTGACCAACAACTCCCTCCCTCAGCATACTCAAGAGGCTTAATTCTCTCCCTTTACAAGTTTAATTCACCTCCACGAGCAATCCGGACTGACAAGGTGCCTAACTCACCAGACGGCCAGAAAATTCAACGCCCAACCTCCGTGCCCATCTTTCTCCTTTTATGCACAGCCACTTATTTGACCTTCCATCTCTCCCTCTTATTTATTATTGCCTAAACTCCCTTCACGTCTCCCCCCAACACTACCCTCTCTAGTGCCCTCACCCTGAGTCGGGATGCCAACATTTCCCCATCCCACTCCACCAACCCCTGCAAACGCTCGAATCCCTCTGCAGACACAGACAGCCCCACAGACCGCCGTCACCCGGACCCCACAGCCCCAACAGCAGAAACTCCTAACGCAGAGATGGGGGGGCGGGGGGGGGTTGCTGAATGCTGCTCGTCCAACCCACCAGACGAAGTCGTTGCTTTTGTCCTCGTAGGAGTTGATGAGGCCGTTGCACAGGGGGGCGAGGAGAGGTCGCTTCCTGCTGCCGCTGCTTAGGCTGGAGCTGCTCCCTCCTACGCCGGCGCTGGGCCTGGCCGCGCAGCTGAGCCGGGACAGGCCCGCGGACACCGCCCCGCCGCCACTCCCGCCGCCGCTGCCGGACACCGCGGCCGCCACCAGCACAGGCCGCGCCGGGCCCCCGAGACCGCCGGAGCCCGCGGCCTGGGCCGCCCCGCCGGACCCCAGCGCCGCCGCCGAAGCCGCTACGGAAGGGGGCGACGGGGAAGAGGATAAGGACGAGGAGGCGGAAGTCACCGAGGAGGCCGCGGAGGAGCCCGGGCTGGTGCCGGCGGAGCCCGATCCGGCCTGGCGGCTCCCAGACATCGTGACTCCCTCCCCTCCGGCTGGGAGCTCGGAGGAGAGGGACCGCGATCGCGACCCGCCGCCGCCGCCGCCGCCTCCCTCCCCTCCGCCTTCAGTGCATCCTGAGGACGCGCGCCGCGTCGGGAGGTGGGGCTGAGGAACAATAAAGTTGATTTTTGTAAAGGCAAAACCACACAGCAGCGTCCGACGGGAGGGGGCGGAGGGAACTATTAAAGCAGAGCAGGAACCACTGCCGCTCTCGGGACCGCCGCCGCCGCGATCGCCGCCGCAGCCAACCCGAGCGCTCCGTGGGCCGGCCGTGCGCGCGCGCGAGCAGCGGAAGGGGCGGGAGCGGCGGGGGATACAACTTCAGACGCGGCCGGGGCGGTGCTCAGACGCGTCGAGCGCGCCTTGGGCGACGGCGGTGGCCTAGCAACGACCGCCGCCTTAGTGGGGCTCTGGTATTCCTTCTTAACGTGCTCGAGGGTAGGGCCGTTCGAGGGAACGAAAGGGCAACGGAGAGAGAAATGGATGGTCGCGGTGGCTTGGGGCAGGGGGACGGGGGGAAAAAAAAAGTGCTCCGAAAGAAACTGCGCACGCGCGCCCGGGGCGCAGACCCTCCTGCTTTACCCAGGGTCCCGGCTCCCAGCGGCGGGGAGCGGCGCCGGCGTGGGGACTGCCTCACCGCGCATGCGTGGGGGGTGAGACGCATTCCTGAACGTGAACTGGGAGCGGCGGCTTGTGGCTTGCGAGGCAGGCAGTGTGACCCAGTGGCGAGGGCACGACAGGTATTTCGATTCGGGTTTTGAAGGCTCTGAAGGCTAGGACACAGGGAAAGAACCTGGAAGCTCCGAGCCGTTGAGAAGAGTTCTGGACTGACAGTCAGGACTCCAGGCGTTGCTGCTGTTAGCCATTCCACAGTACTGAAGTCAATGCACAGTGCTTTGTACAGTGCAAGCGTGGTAGCAGGTGTTTCCAATTTACGTGCTCGACCGTGATCTCACTCGTTTGAAAAGTTATTTACCAAGTTAAGCATCATCATAATGAGAAAACAAATTATATTTAATCGGAACATAGCTCAGTTAAAACCTCCGTATGATGTGTGTCTGTTACGATTTTTTTAGCACAAAACAAGGAAACTCTGGCAGTTAATGCTACCAGAAGTTGCAGTTTCTGGTAGGCTTTTTGAAATACTGAAATTTGTTTACAGATTTTCATTTGCCATTTTGAGACCCCCCGCCCCCGCCCCCGATTCTTAATGATGTAAATTAGAAACAACTAACTCTGATTGTCAATATACTTTCCAACACTCATGCTATGATTCTTAGAGGGAAGGATCTCAGTTAATTCTCTTAGGGGCAATTAGAGGGCCTTTCCCTAGGAATACCTGTCCATGCTGAGGGGACAGGGCCAGGAGAGGGCCTCGATGCAGGCCCAGCAGCAATATCTGGCTGTGAACCACCCATCCATCTTAAGGCCACCATCCCACTGAAGTCTGCCTTAGCTGCTCACGCTCATATTCCGAGCTCAGGTTTCTGCTCAGAATAATGATACAGGGATGGGCATATCAGATTTCTAACAACCCTCTTCTTTTCCTGATTATTCTGTTATACAACCCTTTGTTTAAATTTATTTTCCAGACCCAATTAAAATATCAAGCCTTCCTGACTTCTCAGCAGAAAGAGTTGCACCCTCATTTGTGTCCCTAGAATATTTTGTTTGCACTTACAACATTGTATTGTAGTATTTTATAATTCTCCTCCAGTAACCTATCAGCTTCAGCTTTATATTCCAGCCAATTCATCATGTAACCCAATACCTGGCCTATGATCGGTGCTTATTAAGTATTTCTGGGCAAACAAAGCAATTGATGTCATTTTTATTTTAATTATTTGCTTAAAGTCTGTCTTTCCAACTAAAATTTAAGCTCCATGAAAGAAAGGACCGTAGGAGTTCTCAGTGGGCATTCAAGTAATTTTTTATGAAGGAATCCATAAATAAATGAATGTAAATAATTTGATGAGTATTTCCCCCCTTTTTTTAATTGCTTGACAATATTGTGTTGATTTCTGCCACATATCGGCGTGAATCAGCCATAGGTGTATATATGTCCCCTCGCTCACATATGTCCCCTCTCTCTCAAACCTCCTTCCCACCTCCCTCCCCTTCCCACCCTCTAGGCTGTCACAGAGCCCCAGTTTGAGTTCCCTGAGTCATACAGAAAATTCTCACTGGCTGTCTATTTTACTCATGGTAGTATATATGTTTCCACACTACTCTCGCCACTCATCCCACCCTCTCCTTCCCACCCTACCCATCTTGTCCCTAAGTCTGTTCTCTGTGTCTGCATCTCCATTGTTGTTCAGTCTCCCAGTCGTGTCTGACTCTTTGATCCGATGGACTGCAGCGTGCTGTGCCTCCCTGCCCCTCACTATCTGCCAGAGTTTGCCCAAGTTCGTGTCCATTGTGATCCATGCTGGCCTGTAAACAGGATCTTCAGTACCACCTTTCTAGATTCCATACATATTGCGTCAATATACGACATTTGTTTTTCTCTTTCTGACTTACTTCATTCTGTATAATGGGCTCTAGGTTTATCCACCTCATTAGCAGGTGACTCAAATGTGTTCCTTTTTATGGCTAAGTAATATTCCATTGTATATATGTACCACAGCTTTATCCATTTAGCCATCACGGAACATCTAGGCTACTTCCATTTCCTAGCTAATGTGAATGAACACTGAAGTACATGTGTGTTTTTGAATTACTGTTTTCTCAGGGTATATGCCCAGTAGTGGGATTGTTGGGTCATATGGTAGTTTTATTCCTCATTTTCTTAAGGAATCTCCCTACTGTCTACCATAGTGGCTGTATCAATTTACATTCCCACCAACAGTGCAAGAGGGTTTGCTTTTCTCCACATCCTCTCTAGCATTTATTGTTTGTAGATTTTTTGATGAGGCCATTCTGACTCATGTGAAGGGATATCTCATTGTAGTTTTGAGTTGCAGTTCTCTAACAGTGAGTGATGTTGAGCATCTTTTCATGTGTTTATTAGCCAGGGAATCTGATGAATATTTATTGAACGTTTATTACACATAGCCCTGGACTAGGTAAGGAAGAGATAAATATATGTTCATGGAATAATTGAAGAATTAGAAAAATATGTAAAGATAAGTAATGTTACCAAGGTGTACATTCAGTTCAGTCACTCAATCATGTCCAGCTCTTTGCAACCCCATGGACTGCAGCATGCCAGGCTTCCCCATCCACCACCAACTCCCGAAGCTTACTCAAACTCATGTCCATTGAGTCAGTGATGCCATCTAACCATCTCATCCCCTGTCATTTCCTTCTCTTCCTGCCGTCAGTCTTTCCCAGCATAAAAGTCTCTTCCAATGAGTCAGTTCTTCGCATCAGGTGGCCAAGGCATTGGAGCTTCAGCATCAGTCCTTCCAATGAATATTCAGGATTGATCTCCTTTAGGATGGACTGGTTTGATCTCCTTGCAGTCCAAAGGACTCTTAAGAGTCTTCTCCAACACCACAGTTCAAAAGCATCAATTCTTCGGTGCTCAGCTTTCTTTATAGTCCAACTCTCGCATCCATACATGACTACTGATGTATGTGCTAAATGCTTAATCATTAAAGCAGAGAATCAACATAGGAACTGAAGCAAGAGCACGTGCTTAGGGCCAGCCATGCTGATGGTGGGGGGGAGCGTGCAGTGGGCAGGGGTAGGGAGTTGTTAGGCCGGAAGAGAAAAGTATGGCTTGGTCAGTTAAAGTATAATTAAAGTCATGAGCCTAGAAAATAAATAAAAATGCTTACATCAAGTTCAGATATCTATTTTATAGAGTTCAAAAAGTTCATTTGACAAAAATTCATTTGGGGGCCATATTGTAAAGAGCCTTGATTCTACTTTGAAAAATAGGCTACAGGCAGTTGGAAATAAGAGGTTAAGTAGGGGTAAAATATATTTGAAGTGGTGTTTTGAAGATTACATTTTCAGCAGGTTAATCTTTGAGGAGAGGTGGAAGATTTGGAGCTAAGAGACTAATTGGAAAAACATTAGAGCAGTCCAAGCATACGTGATGAGATTCTAGGTTAGGATGTGTGTGTGTGTGCGCTCGGTCATATCTGACTTTTGTGACCCTGTGGACCAGGCACCAGGCTCTTCTGTCCATGGGATTCTCCAGGCAAGAATACTGGAGTGGGTTGCTGTTTCCTAGTCCAGGGGATCTTCCTGAATGAGAGATCAAACCTGTGTCTCCTGCACTGGCTGGCAGATTCTTTATCACATAGCCAGCAGGGAAGACCCCTAGGTTAGTATACGGATAAGGAAAGTAAAAGGGTATTATGAAACCCACACACGCACAAGAATCTAGAGGGTTAAGTTACTCTCTGTAAAAGAACCTTCATTGGACTTCCCTGGTGGCGCAGTGGATCAGAATCTGCCTTGTAACACAAGGGGCATGCGTTTGATCCCTGATCTGGGAGGATTCCCCATGCTGCCGAGCAGTTATGCCCATGCACCACAACTACAGAGTCAGAGCTCTAGAGCTTATGAGCTGCAGCTAATGAGCCTGAGCCCTACAGCTACCGAAGCCGACTCACCTAGAGCCCATGCTCCACGGCAAGAGAAGCCCCCACAATGGGAAGCCCAGGTACTGCAATGAAGAGTAGCCCCCATCACCGCAACTGGAGAAAGCATGCTTGCAGCAACAAAGACTCGGCACAACCAAAGAATAGAATCCTCAAGATCCTTGAGGGCATGACCCATGTCTGTCCTAAGGTCATCACTGTCTTTCCCCGTGCTTGGCACAAAGGCCAATTAGATGATTATGTAAAAATTAGGAAACACAAGAATGAAGGACTCCACTGATGACTTCAGGTATACCAGCATGACAGAATTAGTGAATGATTTGATTGTGGATATCTTAAAGTTTTCATGAGATGAAAATACGTTCAAGTAAGCATATCTAGCCAGTGACTGAAAATTCAGGCAAGACACAGGAGTAG